CAAGGGCCTTACTATTAGGAGCAAGAAGCCATTACCGAGATGTGATGTCTACTAGCTTCTTGTTGCTATTAGTAAGGCCCTTGCTCCTAGTAGCGATGCCCTTTGCTCCTAGTAGCGTCCTGTATACTATGTCGCAAGGCTCATGAGATCTGTCGTTGGGAACCTCCCTGTGGGATGGATCTGTCGCAAACACCACGGGCATGAGATCCTTCCGTCAAATGGCCACGTGGGAGAAGATGTGGTGCTTCCAACATGCACTGTTGCGCGAGACACAAGCCGACGCGCCGCCGACGCTTGAATCATTGGATCCATGAGTGCAGGCAGCGCTAGCAAATCTATTGGATGTACGTACCAAGTTCATACTGTTTGTTGTCAGAATATCATAGAACATCTATATAATGAATCGATATTAATATATGACGTTGGGGAAGAATCTGGAAATTGATTCTGTGAGATTTCGCACGGCTGAAAGGACTGCCCACAAAATTTGCAAGCGCGCTTCCCGTTCCCCAACAGGGAAACCTGGGGACCATACTTAAAGATTTCAGAGCAGGTTGGAACCAATCTCGCAGCAGGTTCCTAAACAAGTTCCGGAGTATACGCTCTGAAGTAGCTTCCGTTGAGCAGGTTCCGGAGCACCTGAGCAAATCCCCGAGCAAGTGCTGGAACAGATTCCGCAGCAGGTTCCGGAGTACATTCTATAGCAAGTGTTGGAGTAGGTACTGGAACAAATTCCGGCGCAGGGCCTGGAGTCCCGAAGCCAGTTCCCAAAACAGGTTGCGGAGCAGGTTCTGGAGCAAGTCCCGGCAAAAGTTCCCGAGCAAGTTCCGAAAAAGGTTACGGTATGCAGTTGTTTGCAACTGGGTACTTAACAACTGCATCTTTGGTGATTTGCATTTCGAACTTCCGAATATAGTTTCTTTTCGAGTCGAATATCTAGTCGCCCTCTGACTTCCTTGGGCCATTTCCTTGGACTGGACTCTTCCCAGGAGTTCGGGAGGGCGTAGCTTAGTCTCCTGTGCGCCAGCAGCATGGTTATACTGTTCTATTCGGTGACGCTAACGTGCACAAGCAACGTAGTACTCACGCACGGTTCCCGCCAACGTGCTAGCATGTCATCATGCCGACGCGTGAAACATGGTTGTTTTCATAATGTTGCGTGCCGTCATGCTGTCAGGTCGTTGTTCTGGCATGGGTGGCAAGAGCTTGTTCTTGGTGGCTGCGGTGGGCGTGGTAGCGGTTCAATAGCAGTCTAACAACCGCAGTCGCGGTCGTAGTCGCAGCGTAGAAGACGTATGGTAGTCCCAGCCGTAGCCGTAGTTGTGGCACTCGGGGTCGCAGTCGTTGACATAGTGGTGGTGGTCGTCGTCGTAGTCGTAGCAGTGGTAGTAGCAGTAGCAGTAGTAGCCGTCGCCGTCGCCATAGTGTTTGTAGTAATGTAACATTTTATTGTAGTAGTCACAGTCGTAATCGTAGTAGTCGTAATAGTCGGCGTCGTTGTCGTAGGAGTTGTCGTAGTAGTAGTTGTAGTAGTAGTGGTGGTGGTAGTAGTAGTAGTAGTAGTACTAGTAAACGTAGTAGTAGTAGTAGTAGGAGTAGCACTAGCACTAGCACTAGCAGTAGCAGTACCAGTAGAAGTAGTAGTAGTAGTAGTAGTAGTAGCAGTAGTAATCGTCAGCAGTAGCAATAGCAGTAGTAGCAGTAGTAGTGGGAGTAGGAGTAGTGGTAGTAGTAGTAGTAGTAGTAGTGAGAGTCGGAGTAGTAGATGTTGTTGTTGTTGCTGTTGTCGTCGCACTGGTGGTAGTAGTCGTCGTCGTAGTGGTGGTGGTGGTGGTAGTATTAGTAGTAGCAGAGCAGCAGCAGCAGCAGCAGTAGTAGTAGTAGTGGTAGTAGTAGTGGCAGTAGTCATAGTCGTCGTGGTAGTAGCAGTAGTAGCCGTCGTCGTAGTCGTAGTCGTAGTCGTAGTCGCAGTCGCAGTCGCAGTCGCAGTCGTAGTCGTAGTCGTAGTCGTAGTAGTAGTCGTAGTAGTAGTAGTAGTAGTAGTAGAAGTAGTACTAGTAGTAGTAGTAGTAGTAGTAGTAGTAGTAGTAGTAGTGCTGCGTTGCTACTGCTAGCGCTACGGCCACCACGACTACCAATAATACTACCACTAATACAAACACTACGACAGATACTGCCACTACCACTGCTACAACCACGACGACGAGGACGATTAGTACTATTATTTTTTTTCCCTCTCCTATTCCTACCCCTACTCCTATAGAACTTATCACCATAACAAGTAGTAGTATTACTATATACGACGGCGACCACTACGACCACCACCACCACTACTACCACGACGACGACGATTACTACTACATTTGCCGCGCGTTATTTGTATGTTCGGGAAATGAACACGCGCACTGTTGGACATGTGCCCCTCCCCCACACCCACACATAGCCAAACTTTGGTCAAATGATCAGTGTAATCGGACATTAACCTGATCATGGGCTTTTGGTGTTGGCAAAACATGGAAACAGAGCTGCAAGGGCTATGCCATATTTTTACCCAGGGTTTATCTCATTTCTCTGGGGGTTGGCCTATGATTCGGGAGTGGTAGTGGTAGTTGTGGTCGTGATTCGCGATCGCTCTAGCAGGAGTGCTTGGCAAATTTGGGAGCAAGGTTTGGTACTGAAGGTTTGTTCAAAAATACCAAACCCTAGCGCAAATCACGTTTGCTGATCGCGAAAGTTTGCGGCCAAAGGGCTTGAATCTCACATGAGGGTTCAACCATGCGAATAGCTCCTGGGGCAAGGTTCGTCGAGATTTTTAGCAAGCGCGCAGTTCCTTTCTGGTCATGCCCCGAAAAGCTATGTTGGCGACCTGAAGTTTACTGTCATGTTGCCAAGTGTGCTGACATTCGCTGTGGGGTTTGACATCTGTTTTGACATATTTTCTGGGAAATAGTTCGGGCATGGACGTTTGCATCAAACCGGCGTGCTTGCTGCAACCGTTCTGCGAACAAACGTCTCGTTGGGCATCCTAGCTGGCATTTTGCATGCTATACCACCTGACCAGTTGACTCGCGCATCATGAGCGTCGTTTTTGGCAATTGTTTTACTTTCATGTGGAACCCTTCCCGGAAGGCGGCATGGTTTCTGACATTCAAACTGCACGTTCTAACATTTTTTGATGTTCTGGCGTAATTTGCGTCGTTCCAGCGCGCATTTTTGGTCGCATTATGTCGCATTCAAACTGGCAGATCCTTTTGGCATTTTTGTTGTTGTGCATTCCAACGGACACAAATCCGGCACAATTTTCTTCAATTTTTTTGTGTTGTCCCAAACCCCTTTGGCATTCCAGCCTTCCAGTCGGCCTAGTTTCTGCCATGTTCTCATATTGTCATTTTGTTTGTCATATTTCCTACATTCCATTTACCATGCCTTTTGCGCATTCTAGGTGGCATGTTTGTTGGCGTTTGTTGGCCTTTGGACATATGTTTTGGTATCCATCTCTGGCCATCCATGTCCATCTTGCCAGTTGGAAAGGTTTCTATACATTTTTTTGTGTATACCTTTTGACATTCCATCATCCGGCGTGTGTTTTTGCATTCTATAAAAATTTGTTGCAAGCCCAGACCGGGCTGTAGCGCTCTGGTTTGGTGCGCAGGCCCGCGCGTGCCCAGACTGAGCTGGTGCCCTCTATGGCATGCAATTCCGCTTGCCCCCACTGGGGGGGTCGGCGCTGGCACGACGCCCTGCCCCAAATGACCACACAGCATACCCTCGGAAAGTATTTGGGGACCAATGTGCTGACCATGGAACAACAAAAACGGTTTTTGCCAGTGCCTGGTGTTTGGGGTGTTCTATGTTTTTTTTGCTTATATGTGCCGGTATGTGCCGGTGCCCGCACTACCCAGATTTACCTTCGTGATAGTTGCCGGCCGTGGGTCGCGTATGGTGACGCCAAGTCTGCCAGGTATTAGGCAAAACCCCTCAGCCGTGCCGGCAGAAGTCGGGACATGCGTGCCTATATTAAGCGTGCCGTTGTAAGCAGCACGGACGTGGTGGGTTGTGCAGCCGAGTGTGGAGGCCAAAAGGCATCCGCACAATTTTTCAGGAATGATCATACAGGCACCTGACCTCAGAAGGCAACTTTTTGTACCAAAAAAATAATGAACACTCTGTAGTTGCTTTGTTTGGCATGCTTTTCGTTCGACGGTGCAGTTCCCAAAAAAATTTGTGGGCGGCAGTGTTTTATCATCCGTTCTCGGGCATTTCCGCGACAAAACTGTCAAGGTAAAGTGCAGCGGTCAAAGGACAGCTACAGAGGGTCCTCGTTCTCGCAGCCCAGGTTCCAACAATACCACCGTAATTTTGCAACGCCTAATCGGGACTACAACAGCATGTTCTCCACAGTAGAAGTAGTACAAACGAACAAAATCGAACAAAAAAATTAATCAAAAACGCACGTTCATGTCTTAAGCGGGTGAGTTGGCCAATTCGCTTCAAAATCGGCATATTACACCCCGCATGCCGATGGTGCAGTGTCCGCCTCGCATGTGATGCGCTGTTGCCCTTCTGGCAACTGCCGTTGCGATCCTGCAAAGGCCTTGCCACTGGTTTGCGACCTCAGTGACCGGGTTGAGGTCCAAAGACTCGAACTTCTCCAATTGCGAGACAGGCGCGGACTTGACATGAAGATTGTGTTGGCCACGGTATGTTGGTTGACCTGAATGCTTTTCTTGCCCCATATTTCGCAGGTTGCATCGGTTGCCTCCAGCCTCTCCAGAGCTAGCAGCTTTGGCCAGCGAAGGTGGCACATTGGAGCAACGCACTCGTGAAGGTGCCGCGCTGGTGGCAAAGCTGCGCACAGAGACGGCCTCCTTGGAATGGTCGGCGAGCGCTGCCGAGCAGCAAAAGAACCGGCTTCAACATGAGCGTCGAACACTCTTGCAGCGCCTCGGGGATTTGGAGGCCTCAGAGAAAGCTTTGCGGCAAGTGGCCCAGGACACGGAGGAGCAACTCCAAGCCGAGCGGCGTCAGGCGGAAGAACGTGCCTTTGGCCAGGAGACTGCGCTGAGTGCTGTGGCGCAGCGGGCCACGGCGGCAGAGCAGCGCTGGGCGACAGCCAAGGCCTAAGGTTTGTTTGAACATGCTCGTTAGCATTTGTCAGCAGTGGGCGGGATGGAGGTAATCTTGTCCACCGTCCACCTATCAAAACACGGGGACCCCCCCAATAAAGAAACCTCGGCCGCATATGTTTTTGATTAGGGGGTCCCTGAAATAGGGGTTGCCGAAGTGAGGTCACCTGGCAAGAGCTTCAAAACCAAAAAGTCAACCAGGAAAATTTTATATAGAATTCCTTTTTTAAACTCGTATCAAAAATTCAAGAAAAACCCTCCAGATCGAAGGCTGTTTTTCCTTTTCATCTAAAAAAATATTGTTGTTTTTTTTGAACCTAATTTAAAAACATCATCCAAAAATTCGACCATGTTGGTAGTTTAGTAGCGGTTTGAAAGGGTGGTAATTAAACAATATAAGCCGTATTTAGAGTTTCGGACATTGTGGTTTTTAAATAAGTACTCGGGACTAGCCAACCGCAAGAGAACATCCGGCAATGCAAGAGGTGGAAGATGGCAGAACACCAAGTAAAAACCTTTAGGTCGTGTGGGGGGCTTGGTGGTTTAAGGCCAAGACCTTGGCAGCGCGGCTGCGGGGTGGCACGACAGAGGCCGAGGCTGCTGCAGCTAGCGCGTTGAGAGCCTCGGCGCGAGAGGCAGAGCGCGATGGACGAGTGGTGCGGGAGTTGCAGAGGCGCCTGGAGCGGCAAAAACGGGAAGCTTTGAAAGCTGAGGACCTTCGAGAGAAAGAAGCAGAAGAGAGGAAGAGGTTACAAGCCCTGCAGGAAACCTCGGAGCCATTGAAAGACTTGGAGGCAGAGTTGCAGCAGTGTGAGAAGATGCGATGGGCAGAGAGCAAGTTAGCAGCACGCTTGGAAGAGAGTCGAGCTCGAAGTGGAGAAATCGAAAAGAAGGCGATGAACGTTGCGCAAGAGCTGGCCAATTCCTCCAAAGTCATCGCGTGGCTTCAAGCGGAGGTAGGGCAGTGTCGGTCCAACGTGGTCCAACAGCCGTTGGATATTAATGTTCCTCCACTTTTGGGAACATGACTGGCAATCCGCCGATGCTACTGCGAGATTGATTGAATTTAAACTACAAAATGTTTTTGACCTTTATGCAGTCTATGCAGTCGTTTAGCTCTGGCTTGGCTGAGGAAACGCATGAAAACACTCATTTCTCGTGAGTTTGTTTGGTGTCGCCCATCCTGATACATCACCGAAAACCCTGAGGTGGCCGCCCAGCAGGAGGACCAGGCAGAACTGGAAGAGGTCAACAGGCACAACGAGTGGCTCCGCCAGCAGCTGGAGATGAAACCCTTAGAGACGCCTACACCTTCGGAGGATGTTCGGGCGCACGAGAGCCGCAAGGCCACAGTGGTGAGTGAAGCATTGCAGGTGGCTTGGGAAGGTGAAACAAGAGACTTGGAAGGTGAAATTGATACACAGGTGAACGCTACTAGGGGCTCCTGGCCTTACTAATCACTAGGAGCAAAACTCTCCATGCATGGTTGAAGAAACAAAGGTGTTTTCGGGGATGCGGGTTTCTTTACTAGATTGTTGGGTACCGGGGCAAGCACGAGGCCCATTCCTTTTTTTGGCTGAGGGTTGATTGTATACGTGCGTGTGTGTGCACTTGTATACACAGAAGAGATACACTAGCTAGAGTATAAAATGCATATCCAAAGCGTGCACACATGTAATATTTTCACACACACTGTGTCATATGTATCATATATCTCCTTGCGGGTTGAAAGATTTGAAAGTAAAACCGAGGAGAGCATCGCAATGCGCAGCTGAAACTGCAGAATCTCCAAGAACTCTTGACTCCTTCGCGTCAACAGCTCCTGCGCCTGGCCGAGCTCCTCAATCAACGGCAGGGCTGTGCGCAATCCGACTTGGTGCGACGCTTACGGGAGAGGCTGTCAGTGGATACAGTTCAGCAACTGGTAGCTGAGGCGGAGCCGCTTTTTATGGCGACCATATTTTTGCATTTTGTGTGTGGGGAGGTTGTGAATACTGTGATACTGGGAACGTTGGACCTCGAACCCATTCAAACCCCGTGAATCTCAGACAGACTGTCCTTGTGTGTTTCTTTGGCGCAGAGCTGTGCCTGCTTATATAAGCGGTTTGAACAACCCGAAAGGTGGAGAGCTTCGTCATGGAGATGCTCCGCTCCGATGAGCGAGCCGACCAGTCCCCGCTGCCGCGCGACCGTCGCGAGGCGCCGGCTCAGGCGGCTCAGGCGGCACGGGACCGTCGCGAGGCACGGAAGGCGCCGGTCGCCTGGCGGCCTGAGATGTCGCCCCTTCCACTGGACGACGGCAGAGCAAGTCTTGTGCATCGAGAGTGGCCGTCGCCAAGTCGATTGCGCAATCGAGAGCCTTTCAATCTGAAAGGACATGCAAAGGAGCGTCGGCCTGGTACGGTGGGGCCTTTGTATCATTTAGATCCCAGACAGGTTCAGTCTTTGGAGCCTTCACCAGCACGTGGGCGGCGCATCGATCGGATCGATCTCGATTTGGAGGAGCGCTTCGATGAATACTCTGTGCACCGTCCACGGACCCGCAAAGCGGGTCGACCGGACCAAGGCTAATGTTCTCGACCATTCTTGGTACCTTCTTGCTCCTAGTAGCTTCTTGCTCCTAGTAGTAAGGCCAGGAGCCCCTAGTAGCGTCCTGTTGGTACCTTCGCCATGTCTCGAGTCTCGACTGATCTGTGGCGAATGTATGTCTCATGGCCAATGCAAAAAAAGGGCACGGCCGCGACCGCCGCGCGCAGTGCGGGCGCGTGTGGAGCGCTCTGAAATTGTTGCATTTGCATTGTGTTGCAGTGGATCGGTAGGAAGATATAGGAAGATTAGAAAGTCATGACTCATGACTCGTGACATTGACGTTTGACCGATGCCGCTTGTTTGTAGGTTCTGAAGCTGAAACATGCACTAGACCAGGCTGCGAACACCAAGGAAAGAAAACAAGGCTAAATGGTTATTGAAATTCCAAGTCTAAACCGTGACAGAAGCTTTTCGCACTTCGGATGTGCACCAGTGGAGATGTTTGTTGTTCGATTTGTACGTCACTTCTTTCGCAATGACTTAGATTCATTGAGAGCCGTGCCATGGCGCATGAGACAGAGAAGCCAAGACGAGAAGAGTACATTGAGACGGTGCTGCCATGGCTACGCCAATGTGGGGTGCGAGACCTACAAGCAATGAAGCCTACTTTGGTACCAGATTCTGTGAGTAATGCACTTGATGCTGTCATCCGTCGAAGCCAGCGCCACACCTTCCAGGAGGCAAAAGCATTGAAACACCGGGTGCAAATTGAAGCCATTGCTTCACATTGTTTGTCCTGCATATCTCCTGATTTAGTGATTGAACTTGGTGCTGGGCAAGGGATTTTAGGTCAGACGCTGAGCTCGGCGAGCAGTTGTCCACTGGTAGCTGTTGATCGTCGAGGCAACACCGATGCCTTTGATACACACCATGATCTCACTGAAGCTGAAGTTGCTTGTAGCTTCCACCGGATTCGAACGGAGATTGCAAGCCTCAATGAGGATCAGCTGCCTGAGTTGCTTGGTGCCAAAAAGACGTTGCTGCTGGCGAAACATCTCTGTGGGCATGGCTCGGACGAAGCGATTGACTTGGCGATCAAGCTCGGATCAAGCCTGGGCCTCCTGTGTTTGGCTCCTTGCTGCTACGTCACAATGAGGTGGGAGCATCTTTGTCCAGATTCCCAGAAGTGGCTTCAAGAGGCCTCTTTTCCCGGGGAAGCTCATGCATTTGACCTTCTAGTTGACACCATTCGTTTGGCACGAGGGGGACCCAATGCGTGTACGAGGTGGCGTCTTCGGGAGTCGAAGACGGAGGAGGAGATTCAAGAGCTTGGTCGAAAGGCTTGTCGCATCATCGACGAAGCTCGACTGTCTCGATTGGAATCCCATGGATTTAAGGTGGTTGCTGTGGAGTATTGCCACCCAGACACGTCACCTGATAATGTCCTCCTACTTGCAGCACCTATGACATCAACCAGCTCTTTCCCCTTGCCAAGTGGACCAACCAAAGCGGATCTGGGAGTATCATGTTTGCTGGAATTGGATCCGACGGCCAGTCCTAGCTTGACGACGCGCTTGGGGGCATACTTGCTCACCATGAAAGCTTGCGGTGACTTGCCGTTGATATCCGTGATGACGGAGTCACCCATCGACGGGACTGTACTAAAAAACTCGTTGTTCCTTACTGCAACTGATCGTCCAAGACTTCAGCAGCTGGTGCAGAAGCTTTGCAAAGATGTGCTGCTTCAGAGAGTTGTTACGCGGTTTCTGCCTCTGACTGACTGCAGCGGATGTGATATGTGCAGCCTCGTCAAGGAGGTGACAGAGATCTTGGAGGAGCTCTCCACAGAAAAGAGCACGGCGACTCTGAGAGTGGCTGCGAAGCCGCGGTCATTGGAGAAGGTGATTTGCGAGTCGTTCTCTCCCAAATTCCTTTCTCCGACTCATTTCACCCATGTGCTGAGCGTCTTGGCCTCCAGTGACCAACTGACCTATTCCATTGTTCCACGTGAGACTCTGGATCCTTCCGCCTGGTCAGAGGCATGTCAATCCCAAGATCTTCGTGTCTTCCAACGATTCGACGAGGTGCTTTGAATTTAATATAATTTAATTCTTTATAATCTACTTTAATTCTAATTTGTTACAACTAGTAAGGCACTTGTTCCTAGTAGCGATGCACTTGTTACGAGTAGCGACGAGGTGCTGTGCCGTTGGCCACGGCGCTTTCAGCACCTCGTGGCCACGGCCCTTTGGACCGATCTGGTGCGGCCGGGCGTGAAGGAGTGGCTGAGTGGCGTGAACGAGAGCAGACCTGTGGTAGTCATCACCTGTGAGCAGGGCTCAGGACAGGGAGCGGAACGGCTGAAATCGAACATAATGAATCAAGCTTAATCAACCAATTTTGGCTTCATGAAAGGAATTTCGATGATTGGCAGGTTTGCTTCGCGATGTCATTGGAGCTGAAGTAAGGGTTGGGGCGGCGTCAAGACGCTGAAGATGCCTTCACAGCTTTCACGGAGGGTGTTTCTCTTCTTGAAAAAGACTTTGCAATCCAGGATGGTCACGAAGGACCATGAGTCCTTCTGATGTGAAGGTGGATGCCGTGCGAGGTCTTTGGCATGGCTTGACGGATGGGCAGCAAGGTGCACGTGCAGACTTGCTCTTGGTGGATCTGAGCACTACAGCCACTGGGCGGTCAAGACTCGTTGTTATGTATATGTTGTGGTCCCACACACACATATTTATATATATTATATATAAGACACCAGTTCTCAAGATGCTCATTCCGGAATTCTTTGGTTGGATCACTTTCAGTCCTTCTGGAAGACTTTGGTTTCTTGTTCGACCTGAAGGTCTTCAAGCTCTCTCAGCTGCCAAAAACATACGATACATGTGCCACAAACATCTTTCAAGCATGTTCAGCAAACGAAAAGGAGAAGGAGGCAGTGGTGGCTCTTCACGACTTCATCCAAATGTTGCTGGACGCACCTGAGCCCATCCTGGCACCGCGCGGCACCGCCGTCTTGCGCCTCCGCTGCGGGCGGCGCCCGGGCGCGGTGAAGAAATGGCTGCGAGACGTGGTGAAACACATCGAAGCTTGGCGAAGTGTGTTTCCAAGACGCTACTAGTAACAAGGTGCATCGCTACTAGGAGCAAGGACGCTACTGGGGGCTCCTGGCCTTACTACTGTACTAGGAGCAAGAAGCTACTAGTAACAAGTAGCAAGGACGCCACAAGTAGCAAGGACGCTACTCGTAGCAAGATGCCTTACTAGTAGTAACAAGCTACTAGTGGTAAGGCATCTTGCTACTAGTAGCTTCATGAGTCATCCAAATGAGGTGCAAAATGGTGTACATAGTGAGTTGGTTGGTGCAGCACAACCAAATGATCATTTCAGTGCATTCAGTGAAACTGTGGTCGTTGTCAAGATGCAAAGGCCGACTTCTTCGTGTCTGACTCAGGAAGACCTGGGCTTTGGCCGGGTCGAAGTGATGCATCTCTTGTCCGATCGGGACAGTGAACGCACCGCGATGTTCGATTGGAGTCCAACTTCAGAGGTCCAAAGTGACATGTCTTCACATGGCTATGCAAAATGAGAGGTGAATCTTGGGTGTGTCCGTTCTTACCTGGTTCAGTAAACAAGCTAAGCATCACTATTTTTGAAGAAGGCCTTTACTAAGCATCATCATCCACAGCTACTGGTAGGATAGATGATAGACCCAAGGTGAATCGCTTTCTGGTTCATCCCCTGACCTGTAGTGCTGGAACTGCAAGGCTCTTGTGTAAGATGGCGCACTGGTTGCGAAAGAAAGGACCGGCTCAAGGAGCTCCCGAAGCTGCCAAGATGTGACCTCCAGCGATGGTTCCACCGCTTTGCAACTCCAATGCTTCTGAGGCGTTTCAGAGCTTCCAACCTACCAGCGATGGCCTCCAACCTAGTAGCAATGAGCAGCCTGTAGGCCACCAGGATGTCACTCTACGCATCTAGACCCCAAAAAGATGTCCTCCGGCATGTCCACTAATTGTCCACTGTGCCAGGTGCAGTCCTTCTGGGAGGTGCCCGTCGCGAGGCGAGATGCACTTGGAGCCTGTGACAATCAAGAAGGGCCCGGGCATCACCAAGCAGAAGAAACAAAGAAGCAATCCCGATCATTGAGTTTTTCCTTTGCGCTACGCGGTTGTCAGGTACCACGTCCCAAAGACAGTGACGCAAACTTTGACTCAGGTGTTGTGTGAGCTGGCCAAGACACGCCAGGGCATCTCAGTGGTGAGCGCTACAGCGGAAGGAAGAGAGACTTCCCTGAAAAACACCATGCAGACTGTCCAGAGAGGCCGCTTGGCTTCTTCACCAAGGCCCTGGAGTGCGAAAGTCCAATCGCGGAGGCATGTGACACATGGATTGATCATGGATCATCTGAGTCCGGGTCAGTCTCAGTCCGGCTGAGTTAATTAGAGAGAAGATCAAGTAGCAAATGCAAAAGAAAGGTCGCAAATGCCGAAGGCAGTTGCGTGATGTTTACAGGAACCCTTTTTGTAAGCGACTGGTCTTGTCTTTTTAAGCATGTTCTTCTTTAAAGACCTTTAGACCTTTTCTTTGTTCCTTTCTTGTTTAAGTTTGTCGATTTTTCTTTGGTTTTCTCGTCCCTCAACAAACCAGCCATTGAAGTATTCTGCAGGTTGGCATTCCGGAGCTGTGGACTGAGTTGCTTTTGTAGACACCGGGGGTTGGTCTCACCGGGTGCTTTTGCTGCACCGTTTCGCTTGCAAAAGAAACACTGCTATGTTGAAAGGACAAAGGAGTAAGACCCCGTAGTATTCTGTATTGTATTGAGATGATTCATTCTTTGGTCAGAACTTCTTCCCTTCTCCCCTTCTTTCTCCTAGCGTTCTTGTTGCTCCATCGAGGCCTTGCTGGATGCCTTGACGACACCCGCCGCTACGAGACTCCGATCAGCCTTCTTCTCCGCGGGAAGTCGTGGACTTAAGTGTCAACATTCTTGAGGGACTTCATTGAGCCAGGGTGATTGGAGGCCCAGCTGATTGAAGTGAAGACTAGAATAGGTGACTAGAACTTCGAAGGGTGACTTCCAAAGCATGAATGCATAGGGTGCGTCGTGAATGCATAGGTGACTACATTCGCCGTGTTGACCGCCGTGCGCGAGCAGGGTTGCGCGGCGACGGCTCCTGAGAGGGACATTCGCCCAGCGGATGCCGGTGGTTTCCATCCGGAGACACTGGTGTTCTGATGGCACAATGGCCCTTAAGCCTTAGGCATGTGCATGTGGCTTCAGGAAGTGAAGCTCAGCTTGCTTGGTGCCTGGGCGAATGCTGGAAACTTGGATAAGGGCCAGACTGGGGTGAGCCCGTTTCAAATTGCAATGCTACATCTTCGTCAAAGACCCAGGTGAACAAACATGGGGACAGCAATGTCGTTGGGAGCCGAGCTTGTCAAAGTAAAACAGCCATGCGCCGTGTGTATTTGGCATTTTGAGGCGCACATGCACCCCGGCTTGGTCTCAGGCGTCCTGTACATTGAGACCGACTTGCCTCAAGGCCAGGAAAGAAAAGCCACAACTAGACTTGGTGCTGGGCATGTGCCTGCCAAGGTCGCAGGTCAGTGTTTTCCATATCTTCTGCTACACATCCTACCTCTCTCCTGTATGCGTTACGAATTTCTTTTTCCATTGCTTTTTTGTTGCTTATTCACCAGAACGCAGGTGCCACACTTTGCTTCACAGATCCACGAGCCATCCCTTCTCAGTGTTCTTCGCAAAGCTGTGATTCATTTGGCTGCGCACCTAGTTTCGTAGAAGTTGGTGGCGCACCTCCAGCTTCGAGCAATAGCCACAAATTATGCACTTATGCTGCGTTCCCCCCCCAAATATGGTCCTCGGAGAGCACCCACATGACCTCACTTTCCAGCTTTGACATTGGATGTCGTCGCCAATTGCTCGCTTTTTGCGCTCGGTGACTTTCTCATTGCTCGCCAGAAAGCGTATTCTTGTTAGCAGAAAACGGTTCCTGTAGCAAGTAGGGTCCAAGCAACCGCTGTTTCACACTTGATCTTGTGATTCGTTTAAGGCCAAGAGGAGTGGAACGAGAACTGTCAAAAGCTTGGCTGAAGACACGAAGCTGAGCTTTCAAGTGTACGAACTCAGGCAGCCTCTTGGGTGATTCTGTGAACGGCGCAGCCTTCAAGGCCTTCTTGGGTTGTTGCTCAAAGACACAGAAAAACCAGCGTCATCAACATGATTGGAAAGGAGTCATGGCCGGTCCTTTTCCTTAGTATCCTATAGCTTTCTCCCTTCCACGAGCCAACTAATGTTATGTCTACAAAGAGTCTACAAAGAGTCAACCAAAAACCAATACCTGATGGAAACTCATCAGTTGTTCGGTCCTTGCCTCCAATCGAGGACCTAACAGCTGGAGAGATGTTGATCTTCCCTTCATGGTTCCGCCCTCAATGCGTTTTGTTTTGCAGCAGCTGCGCCGGTTTGTTTCTTGTGGTCTCCAAGGCTCCAGCATCATGTGCCCCCACATGCAGGAAAAGATTTGCGTATCAGGCCTTGCACTTCTATTTGTGGTACTAGGAAGGGAGGCCATTGCTATTAGGTTGGAGGCCATCGCTACGAGGGAGGTGACTGTGAGGCATTAGAGTCATTAGGGAGGTGCTGCTCATCTGAGTTCTTTTTGTGCATATCCTGAAACACATCGCATGACCTGGCAGTGTAGCCTTCAACCTCAAAGCAGAGTTGGTGCAGCAAAAGAAGACAGAGAAGATTCTCACCATCACTGTCGACCAGGACTTGAGGTGCTTGGCTTGGCTTTTTCAGCTCTATTCGGCGCTTGAGAAATGGCAGGTTTGATGCAGCTGCCGCGGAGTTTCGGACGATGGTTTCTCGTCCTGGAAGAGTTTGTGGATGTTTTGTGTCAGATGTTCCTAGTAGCAAACCTTGTTACTACTAGTAAGGCACTTGTTACTAGTAGCGATGCACTTGTTACTAGTAGCGAACATTGTTTCTACTAGCTTATTGTTACGTGGAAAGGTCAAATGCATCATCGCCATTTCATGGCAGCCAGAAACATGAGCTTCCACACGTGTAAGTAGGAGCTCCTCTTTGGAAGCCAAGTCACTCGCAAGGACAGCAGGGTCATGACCTTAGGAAGCAGGGTCAATGAGTTCACGTGATGCCGGGAGACGTGTTTCCACGCCAAATCGGTGCGCCGTGATAGGACGCTTCCATCGACTTGAGCTTTGACTGGCTTCATGAAGGCCAGAGCCGGGGTGCCTTTTGTATCCCCTTCTGTGTGCAGACAATCTCTCCAAAGGTCTCTCATGAGTTTCTCCTATGAATTCTGACCTCAAGCTGTGCGACATTCTGTCCCAGCAAGGTGACCTTCGTCGATTTCGACCGCCAGATCAAGTGGTCCAAGCCTAATGATAGTTTATGTATTTTAGACAATTAGGACCAGGGCCAGTGCATAACCCCCAAGCACGCAGCGCGTCCATGTTGAAATTCACCCGAGGCCTCGTGGATTCGATCTTCTGGCACTTTGTCTTTTTGGTCTTGCTTTCGGCAAGCATCCTCAGACTACTAGTGCACCTTGCTGCTAGCTTCTAGCTACTAATTAGTAGTAATGCCTTTGTTACTAGTAGCGATGCCCTGGTTCTTTCGGTAAGTCCTTTGGTGTAGATGAGGACACCTGGGGAGGCAGGTTCTGTCTCTGTGGTCGTTCTCCCCGAAAACTTTGTGCACTGAGCTAAGAAGAGTGTGAAGCTGATGAGACTCCAGCCTTTACAGTACTGCACTTCAGGCAGGGCCTCCGATATCGGCCTTCCGTGCTGGCAGCCAACAGCGGCTTTCACGTGCGCTGAGTACCTTGGATACCCAGCAGAAACGTTTCGGTTGAGCACAGGTACTGGCGGGAGACATCAAGCTTTGGCTACACGATCCCAGGTCAGTATCGGTGTAATGTCTAGTTGGAGCTCCTGATTGCTGGAGATCTGAGTTCACAATGAGTGCTTCGTAGGTTGCAGGTGGAAGTCGCCGCTGTCCGGCCCTCTGAGCTTGGTTGAGCTTCCGGGACTTCAGGGACACCGGAACTCAGGCTGCAGACCCCATAGCAAGACACCTCTTCGGGCAGAAGGTCGGACGGGCCTCCACCCTAGTAGCCATGGCCTCCAAGCTAACTACTCGTTGCATCCCCTTACTACCTAGAAGAACAGAAGACGAATGAACAGGCCGCTGGCTGCTAGAGAAGAACAAGGCACTTGCTCACTTGCAGGTGGCCCTGCAACTGACGTCCGGCACCATGGTCGAACACTTGGGCGAAGAGGTGACTGCTGTGACTGTGCTTTAGCACAGAGCTTGGGCACCATGAAAGGTTGCATTTCCAGCATCCGTGTTCTACTCCTTGGAGGTCCAAAACGTGATGTAGAGGGTGGATTCTTCTTTGAAACGTGCTTGGTGCAAGAGCTTTGCAGGCAAAAGTGCCATCTGCAACTTTGGCACTCACTCTGTGAGCCAAGGCGATTGGAATTCTTAAGCAGAGGAATGTGGTGTCATCTCTCCCTGCACCGGAGGCATTCGTTGGAGAGCTTCAACATAGAGCTTCGACACATTCGACGCCCT